GAAGCGCCTGGCCTATAGATGTGCAATACATTTTTATTTTTTCGTAAGTGCTCATTTACACACGGCGATTATTCTTGCCGCAACTCGACGTTTGTAGGAGAGAGCGTGACGAGCAACAAGCTTTGTGCTCTCGTACGTCTGTGTAAATAGAACCGCTGTTCACAGCTGACAACAACAATTGCATACACAAAAATCGCCATGTGTAAATGAAACGAGCAACACCAAAAGGGAATGTGAAAAATCGCATCGAAAAAAGTTTCCGTGTATAAACACAGTCTAAGGGTTGCTCCCGGTTTGAAAAGTCGAAACGAAAGAGTACTAAGAAATCTTTAGTAATTAGGTAATTGAAATATGTATCACAATATGGGTGCCACACTAAAGAGGTTTAAGCAAGTTGTAAAAAAGTTTTGGAAAGGGGGGGGCGGGGGCGTTGGTCAGTACACCTACACCTATCTGATTTCGGTGCAGTTACTAGGAATGCTCGATATCGTATAGATTTTTCTGAATATCGATATTTTATCGCACGATAATCGATTTTTTGAATCGATATTCCAAGGTCGATATATCGAAGACATCGATACTTTACCCGCAATATCGATATTTAAGTTGAAATTAATTTTTCATCTACAAAGAAGTGTATGGAAAAATACTAAAGTAGGTTTAATCAACAGCCTGTGTGATTTATTTAGCTCTTAGGTTTGACAAACCGCTTGAGTCGACCAGCATGCCGTTTTAATACTCAGTAAATATGCAAGATGGAAATAACACAATTAGTTGAGTCTGCTTATTGAGTTGATAAGCAGACTCAACTAATTGTGTTATTTCCATCTTGTATATGCCTAATATTCTATTCAATTGGGAGTAGGATTTTCAACATCCGACATCAACATTTTTCCGATATCGATATTGTTCAGCCCGATATATCGCCATATTAATTTTACATGCAATGAATTAAATCGATTCATGATATCGATACTTTCTTAAATATCGAACATTCCTAGCAGCTACCATTAACCAGTGTTGCCTCTATAACTTAAGCACGTTCTGAACATTGGTTACTAGCATCATGGGTTACTAGTAGGTTTGCGTATAGAGAAAGAGGAAGTACATAGAATTTGAATTTGCGACCACCCTTAAATTAAAAAAAAAAAACCGTTTTCTTTACCAATAATGATTTATTAATTTTGAATTTACTGGTGATTTTTATTGTGCTGTTAGAGCAGTTTCAACAAAATTTCATTGCTTAATCTACGTTTATCTCTTGAATGTATGCATGTATAAGTTTTTCACTTAAAATAAGTAATTTGTAATACATATTTTCAAATTTTATTTGAATTGCAATTAATTACTGGTATATATATATATAATAATTTCAAAGTATAAATGCTTTTAACTGGCTTCAAAACATATTTTTTGCTTACAAATCGTTTACATGATGCACCCATTCCAGTTGCATGATTTATGTATATTCAAACCATCAACTAATCAAAAAAGTGCAGTTTAAAATTGTTTTCTTCTCTTGTAAATACACATTTAACCACACATGCCTTGCTCCTTGTTGTGCTGATTGTTTTCGAATTGGAGTTTAATGTTTCACAGTTGCTACATGTTTCATATACGCATGTCTGTATGTATATGAATCTCTCTTTAATACTTAGCTAATTCAGATTTATTTCCTTTAGGATTTTGTATATTTTTATGCTTGCATGCTCTCAAAGTGCATTTATATGTTTTGTTTAATTTTTGTTTTACTAGTTTTTTTCCAATCATTTCAATTAGTTCCATTTCTGTGCATTTTAAGTGAGNGGTGCATGCTCTCAAAGTGCATTTATATGTTTTGTTTAATTTTTGTTTTACTAGTTTTTTTTTCCAATCATTTCAATTAGTTCCATTTCTGTGCATTTTAAGTGAGGTTATGCATAGTTTATCGCTTTTTAGTGCCTTACATTTTGTGCTTCATTTATTACGTATTTCATTTGCAAACTATTTGTTCTTATATAGAAATAAATAATTAATACTTTTTAAAACTTTTATAATATGTACTATGTATGCGCGCACTCGTACGAGTATCATCCAAAATAGAAAAAAATGTAATTTATTTCAATTAGGAAATAAAATTAATAACATGGAGATGAATTAAAACCTATGTATATCTATTTAAATAAAACTAGTATTAAAAAATAAATTAATCTGGACGTGTATTTAAGAAACGAAATGCTTCACCAATTCTCGAAAGATTTTATTGAATTCATCCCTTACTAGTAAGGGCCGAAAGAATATTGAAAGTTTACAATTAACTAAGTAAGCAGCAATTTAACGTTCAAAACCATAAGTTGTATTACTTTACTGAGATTTTAAATTCCTTTTATAAGATTATGTATATATGCATGAATGTATTCTACTGATCATGATTTAACAATGCGTGGCTCACTTATTGAATACAATTTTGCATATCCTCACGCGAACTTTGTAGTAAACCTGCCAAGTTTGAAATGAAATTGTATTGCTGATTTATTGAGGTCTGGAATTGTGTGATACCTTTTTTGCTATAATATATTTGATCATCATTTTTTTATATTTCATATACATACATATATTGTAAATACTTTACATACTAAAAACTACAAGTCTGACTGAAAATCGTTGTTCTAGTGCATGTGCAACTTCACTACGATTTCTCGAAATTATTATATACTTTTCACTTAAAAACTAATGTGCGATATTAAATTTATAAAATACTTATGCATGCTTGTATATTAAATAAAACTCGCAATATTCTAAATACTGGTTATTGTTTAAACTTGTAAAGTAATTTGCGGTGGTGCAGATGACGTAGTGTTATTTTTCAAATTTCAGTGTCACCTGAGTGTAGACGTATGCACGTATGAATGTATGTGTACAGACATACTTAAGTACATGCATATGTACGAGTGGAAGCCTTAACTTTAATGCATGTGCGGGAAAAGAGTTACAGCACGAATAAAGATTAGGCCCTGTAGCCGCTACAACAACAACAACATTAGGCCCTCTCCGACAAGAAAAAAGCTAGGCGTTTGCCTAAAATAGCTAAGCATAGCTACAGAAGGGAGGAAAAACCTGGCGTATTGTGAACTAAGCTCCAACCCAGCAAACTCAAACCCCGAAGGCCGAGGAGGCTTAGGGGAGAGGATTTCTCTACAAAACCTATCACATGTCCTTAAATAATGCAAATTTTTTGACAAACCCAGAGAGTCCACTCTAGACATCTCCTAACCTCTGAGTTGCCAGATTCGACGCTTTCTACTCAGTTCAACAAGTCTTGCAGCAGATCCTTTTCTCGCACAATCGGCTTCGTCTCTTCATTTTCGAAGCTTCACCATGCTCTGGTCTTCTTCTTTATTGGCGCTGTAACCGCCTAAGCCGATTTTGGCCGAGTCCAAAACAGCACGCCAGTCATTTCTCTTCTGTGCTAACTGACCCACTTGGAAATGCCAAGTGAATGCCAAATCTTCTCCACCTGGTCTTTCCAACGCAGAGGAGGCTTCCTCCTCCTCTTTTCAGAACAGGAGCGTTTCTATCCATTCGAACGACATGGCCAAGCCAGCGGACCCGCTGAATTTTTATTCGCTGCACTATATGTCTATATCGTCGTAAAGCTCATACAGCTCATCGTTAAATCGTCTGCGATATTCGCCATCACCAATGCGTAAAGGTCCGTAAATCTTTTGCAGAATCTTTCTCTCGAAAGCTCTAAGAACCACCTCATCAGATGCTTTCATTGTCCATACCTCTGCGCCATACACCAGCACAGGCATGATGACTTATAGTGTGATCTTTGTACCATAAACTCATATCGAGATAATCATTGCCGAACTGAGGACGTTGATCGCATATGGGTATACCATAAAAATAAGCACGGTTTACAAACTTTGTATAGATATCAGCCTGAAAAACATGTTAGCTCCCATTAAAATGTCCACTAGAGCCTGTATTTAAAGCATTTTTGGCAAGACATATCGTCGCCCGGGTAAAAGATTGTCGTTAGCGCAACCTTGACGATTTTTAGTTCTAGATGCAGTTATATATTTTGGAATAAGGTCTTTCGATTGATGTTGTCAGTTTTTAGATGTCTCCTTTAGTTTCCGAGATATTTACTACAATTTTTTAGATAATTCAGTAAAAATTTATTTAATGACGCAGTGATATCATACTAACTAACTAATCAATATTTTAAAAATCGCGTTCTCCATTTGTGGATATCTCCTTTAGTTTCCGAGATATTAAGTAAAAAGTGTCGTTGAATTTAGTAGAAAGTGGCTGCCAAATTGTGGACAAATGACACTTACGACAAAATTTTGCCAAAAAAAATCCTTCATAAACTCAAAACTAATTAAAAATAAACATTAAAATTAAATAATTTAAGCATTTTGTGAACTAGTAACATTTTCAGAGACTTTGGAGAAAATCTATTTTCGCGTTTTTGGGAAATTGTATTCCAAACTTCAATCGCGATTTCCCACAATCTGCCGAAATTAACATACGACAATCCTTTTACCCAGGTGACGGTATGTACATACATAGTATCAAAAAACTTCCCTTTAATGATTTATGGTGAGCTTTAACTTGTATTCGTCTGTTAGATTGGAATCTCGTCTTTGCTCAATACGTTGTCAGATGCCCACACGGAAACTTCGAAACTATGACCAAAGTCAATCGCCATGATCTCATAGTCATAGAGTCTCTGTTTAACCCCAACTCACGCCGCGGCCGCCGCCTGGAGTATCGAGATATGCCCAAGGAATCGTATCTCATATATTTTCCTATACTGCTTCTTGTATTTTTCATCGCCGAAGGTCCTCCGCAGTTTTATACAATCTTTGAATGCCGGTTAATTTTTGAAGTGGCGCCTTTGTTAACTAAATTCCCATATCTTTTCTTGGTATTTCATAAACATACACAGATGTGTACGAACAAGTAAACTACTTCATGAGCATTAGCCTAATTCTTAATATTTGTAGNACGTCTTTTCACCGACCACACCATGAATTTAAATATTTATGAGAGTTTATTCATATGTACCTACATATATACATAAGTAAATGGTCACAACACTAAAAAAATATGCGCAAAATGTTTAAACGCGTAATCGATCGCTGTAAAGTCCTCTTCGACTTTTGCACACTTACAACACTTTTTACTTGGTTACTGCTCGATGCCGAAATATATTGCATTTTAACTTTAGTATGTATGTACTACTGTGTATGATTATGTTCGCATGCACATTTACATAGTATGTACTCGGATTTCAGCGGATTTCAAAGTTGATAAAAATTAAAATTAAATATTTTATATATTCATTTCGCCCTTTTTTTTTCTTTCAACAATTTCAACAATTTGCATTTGCCAACACTTTTCCCTAAGTAAAATTTCGTCTCGCTCTCGATACACGTTACAAGCCTTCTATTAAAATATCTCTCACCAGTTCCCTAACTAGTAAGCTCCCTACCCCGAGCGGTATTCGCATTTAGTAGTGCATCTTTTTAGAGCGTACAATACTCCGTCAGTATCGGTATTGACTTTAGCAGCTCATTGATATTGTTTTCCTCCAAATGCGTCACTAACTTGCCAGAGATGCGCAGGAGATTACTGAAATTTTGCAAATTTTCCACAATTTCCTTGGTCATTGTATCAGATGATTTACGTATTAGCTCGGCTAATTTTTTGCCAACTTCATGTTTTATGAATATCTCTTCAAGATTAACATCATCTTCTTTATCAGCACTACTATTCGTTAAGTAGACCACAGATAAAATACATAAGGCAATTAGCGCTTCATTCTGCATGACTAAATGTTGTGATGTCAACATATTGATCATAGCCTCAACAGTGCCCTCATTGGCAATGAACGCCTTTAAGCTGCTACGATCGTAGTCTTCTGGTGGCAGTTTGTCGGCGAAATGTTCAACAGGCGCATCACCTTTACGTGGCAGCGCATAGGCAATTCTACCCAAGTAGGCGTGTTTGATGAGCCATGCCATGAGCCGCAACGATTCGCCAGTAACGCCAGCATAATCCGAAGATTTGCTCCAATGGACAAGTTGCTCGATTAGCGTTTTATTGCGCAGCAGTTCCAAGGCAAGTTTTTCTGCAAGTGGAACACGAACAAAAAGTATACATAAATAACTAATTGTCTAGAAAAATGTATGTATGTATGTATTTATATAATATCGGCATAGTACCTTGACCATCCACTGTCATGCGCAAAGTACCAAGCAACTTAAAAACTACCGGTGGTTGATGTATCTCCAACATCGGCAGTATAGTTTCAACAAGTCCCGCTTGTATGACAGCGTTTTTGTTTGGTTTGGGTATGACGAGGTTTCGCAGCGCACTCAGTAAGGCATGCTGGAGACGCACATCATCTTTGACGCCATTGTTTTTGGCCAATACATCGAGCAATTTATTCATAATCTTATTTTCTACCATATAAATGCAGTGGCTGTCGGTGCGTGCGAAATTACCCAATGCAAGCACTCCGGTGGTGAGTAGATCGATATCCTGTGAATCAAGCCAATCCTCCATACTCTTCAGAAGCGGCGTAGAATAAAGATAATGCATCGATTCGTCTGTGTGAATAGGTAGAAAAGTAAAAGTTATATCAATGATTTTCAGTGAAATATTTTTTGGTATGTGCATTAGGGTGCCTCACCAAAAAGAAATCGCGGTTTTTTTTACCGAAATTATAAATTTAATTATATTTAAAAACTGGACAATATTAGATTTACGTGAGCTGGGCCGATTTGAAAAGACCTCAAAAAATCTAGTTTCTTTTACAAATAAAATTAATTTGTAAAAGATTTTGTTTCCAAAAATCGCTTCATATTATAGAAGCGTTTTAGCTCAAAAGGTCTGCATTAAAATTGTTGAACATTTCATAACCGGAAATAAAATAATGCAATTTTTGGAGGTTTTTTCAAATCGGTCCAGCTCACGTAGATCTTAATATTTTCCCTAAATATAGTCGATGATACTGCAAAACGTTATATGTCAATTATTACTTCTGGTCCTGGTGGTGGATCTTCACAAGACAAAGGGAGACAGGATGCGTTACGGACCATCTAAGTAAGTACCAATTGACATAGATTACAGTATCACCAACGAAAGTATTAAAATATTTTATAATTCCGATGGAAAAGATTACCGATTTGTTTTTGCATGGAGAGTTCTGCACCCTAATGTACATACATACATATGTATAACAGCTCAATTCTGAATCGGTACCATCATTTTTTTTACTGACAAATTTAAACTTTTTCATATTTGTTTCGGTAAAAAAACGATGACAAGAATTTGTCACTGATACATAATAGAGCCGTTAGACGTGTTTTATGATGTATGGAAATTTTTCAAAATATGTTCTAGATGGTTGGATTGGACTATTTTTTTTCCTTTCCATCTATTGCTGGGATGAAATTTGGTGTAAATTGGATGACGAAAAGTCGGAAAGTCTGAAATCAAGTAAGGGTTGAAAATATACTTACCAAGGAAGAAAAATCGCTTTCCTTAGACTTTCGTTAAAATTTATTGCAAATATTAGATATGTGATATATTAATAAAATGGTTTTATTAAGTAATTTATCTGTACAAAGAT